GCCGCTGCCTCCCAAATCTTGGGATTAAAGAGGCGTGTGCCACACTACCTGGCATGAGAGGCTAAAGTTATTAAAAGTCAGTATGGGCACAGGCCCTGGCTAAGATGCCTGGAGTTTGGGGGTAAAGAGGGGAAGAAACAATAGCCAGGACTGTGGACCTAGGGGCACAGGTACAGCACCTACAGCCACAAGAAACAGGGTCTGCAAGTAAACCCACTGTGGCGGTCCACTGCTAACATCGGTATAGTGTACCAAAGGCCATTCTGACAATGTTTTTCAGCACTCAATGTATTTACCTAAACTTCCCTTTGTACAATTATCTAACTACGTGCCAGAGTTCAGAGCAGTTCTTGAGGAGTGAAAGGGACGAGAGATAGGAAGCTGGGGGAGGACAGGGTATTCATGAGCTTCTGGAACTGCAGTTACAGACCGTTGTGAGCAGCCATGAGTTAAGTGCAGAGCTTCTGGAACTGCAGTTACAGACAGTTGTGAGCAGCCATGAGTTAAGTGCAGAGCTTCTGGAACTGCAGTTACAGACAGTTGTGAGCAGCCATGAGTTAAGTGCAGAGCTTCTGGAACTGCAGTTACAGACAGTTGTGAGCAGCCATGAGTTAAGTGCAGAAAGCCAAACACTGGCTCTCCACAGGAGCAGTAGGAGCTCTTCACTGATGAGCACCCTCCAGCTCCCCACCCTCCCACACTGGCTTTGGGGATGCAGGGAAGTGCCCTACCACTAAGCTCAATCGCCACCCTTTCTGCCTTTTTGTAAACTGGTCTCAGCAATCTGCCAGGCTTGTCTTGAACTCACCTGATGGCCTAAGAAAGCCTTGAACTTACCTTCCTGCCTCAGCTACCCCAAGCTGCTATCTGTGACTACAGGCCTGACAATGAGCTTGGCTAATCTTTTACCTTTCTTTCTTTTTTTAAAAGCCATGTTTAACATTCACTACAAAGGGAGTAGTGTGTCACAGGAGACAAGACTGTCAGGGTGCAGCCAGGTTCTGAAAGCAGGAATGTGATATTCGCTAGCATCTGTGTCAAAACAGCACTGCTCTGGTGCAAACTGGATTTCTGAACAGAACAGCAGGGGCCTCTTCCTGACCTGGTGAGGGGTGAGTTCAGCACCAGTGTTCACATCTACCAACTGGAAGAACAGGGCGAAGTTCTGATGGCTGTCCGCGATGAACGTACCCTTGGCTTTGGCTGGGTAGGCCACCCTGAAAGAGATATTATATAGTCAGACTTCTGATAGGGTCTCCCTGTCTAAGAACAGGAATTATTGCCCAACTGTCCCTGTCCCATTTTACCACTTCCCTGGAATGTACAGAAATATCTGTGGCCTAGAGGCAAAGTGGATCGATAAAGCTGTACTGAAGAGGCCTTTTCTTTTCTTACAAGGTAGACCAGAAAGCTTGACCAGACCACTAAGCTACAATCTCAGCCTCAGGCCAGGACTGACTGAGAAAAGCAGAGAAAACTTTTATAAGGGTCTGGGGAAAATGCTCTGTGAAAATGTGTACCTCCAGGCCTTCACTTCAACATCCCATGCTCTTAACTGGCCCAGCTCAGGTGTGGGGAGCCTGTGTGCACCATTGCAGGGATGGCGGGATGCAGGGGGACAGCCATAGATTGATGCCAACAGCAGAGAGGTTGGTAGATGAGCAGGGAGGGTGGGAGCAAAGGAAAGAACGGAATGCTGGGCTTTCTCTTTTTTATGCTTTGTTTTCTGGACTGTTTCAATTTATTTTTCTGCCATGAAATTGGGCTTTAAAAAGTCATTTTCTCAAAAGGCAGACTTGATGAGGAAAGATGTTTTCTCTATAGCTGTCTCCAGGGACTGAAGAGAAAGACAGCCAAGGGATCAACAAGCCAATGGTTACTCACACCTGGCTTTGTAAGCAACTCTACAGAGACTTAACTTTGCAAACCACTCTTTTTTTTCCCCGTTTTTTTGAGACAGGGTTTCTCTGTATTGTTTTGGAGCTTGTCCTGGAACTCGCTCCATGGACCAGGCTGGCTTCGAACTCACAGAGATCCGCTTACCTCTGCCTCCCAAGTGCTGGGATCTCGGGATTAAAGGTGTGTGCCATTAATGCCCGACTACAAATCACTCTTACAGACATTATTTTAGTGCATTCTCAAATAGTGCTTGTACCTGTACTGTCACTGCAGCAACAACCAAGTCACAGACAGAAGTCCAGCTTTATATGACTTAAAAAGAGTGAGTCTGATCCATCAATGTAATCCACCATAAAAAACAGACTGAGGAAAAAACCCCACATGATCATCTCACTAGATGCTGGAAAAAGCCTTTGACAAAATCCAACATCCCTTCATGATAAAGGTCTTGGAGAAATCAGGGATAACAGGAACATACCTCAACATAATAAAAGCATATACAGCAAGCCGACAGCCAACATCAAATTAAATGGTGAGAAACTCAATGTAATTCCTCTAGAATCAGGGACAAGACAAGGCTGTCTACTCTCTCCATACCTCTTCAATATTGTCCTTGCAGTTCTAGCTAGAGCAATAAGACAATGAAAGGAGATCAAGGGAATACAAGTTGGAAAGGAAGAAGTCAAACTCTCACTATTTGCAGATGATATGATAGTCTACATAAGTGACCTGAAAAACTCTAACAGGGAACTCCTACAGCTGATAAACACCTTCAGTAAAGTGGCAGGATACAAGATTAACTCAAAACAAAACAAAACAAAACAAAAAAACCCTGCATCCCTACTATATACCAATGACACATTGGTGGAGAAAGAGATCAGAGAAACATCACCCTTTACAATTGCCACAAACAACATAAAATACCTTGGGGTAACACTAACCAAAAAAGTGAAAGATCTGTACCATAAGAATTTTGACTCTCTAAAGAAAGAAATTAAAGAAGATACTAGAAAATGGAACGATCTCCCATGCTCTTGGATAGGTAGGATCAACATAGTAAAAATGGCAATCTTGCCAAAAGCAATCTACA